ACACACACACAAACAACAAAATTAAAAGAAAAACCTTCTCTTCTGGAAATCAACTGGAAAATCGTAACCTTTCAAAAACTTAAAACTTGCACCAGACAGAAGAATCTTCTTCTTTTAAAACATTAATACCTTTCAATGACAAGCTTGCAGGAAACTATTCTTAAATTATTGTAATTCAAATAGCTTTCTGCTATCTGCCCCAAATTGTTATTCATTAACTCATTAGTTAAGTCTGCGAGCAAATCAAAATATTAATCATGGGAAAGTTCACTTACATAGTGCAATGTTAAAGGGCATCCCACATTCATGCAGGGTCCGGGAAGGGCCGTACCCTAAGAGGTGTGATATAAACAACATACTCTAATGCAAGCATTAGTGGCTGTTTTCACAGTTCGAACCCGTGACCTATAGGTCCAAGACAACTTTACATAGTGCAATGTTAGTTGCATCATTTTTCTTTTTCCGTTTTGCTACATAACCTTTCACCTACGTGATAAACAGTAATATCCACCAGAAGATACAAATGGCTTATTTTTTAGATTACCTTTTGCTCAATTAAACAGTAATATCCACCAGAATAAATAATGTTTAATGTTAAACAACAGTTCAACACAAATCATCTTTTAATTGTTAATTTCTTAGTCACGAGATTCATTAGTTTCCAACATTATGCAATCAATTTTAACCATTTTTTCATAGATTTTGAAAACAAAATCTTCAAATCCCAAAAATAGCTTTAGAGTAGTTTTTGAAGTTTTCTACTCACAAAACTACAAATTCTTTTCGAGTAAAATGCACGTCCAAACACAACTTTCAAAAATCATTTTTCATCTCATCTTCAAAAACTCATATTTTAAAGTTTCAACCATATCTATGTGCAAACGCTAGCTTGGTTTCATCTAATATCACGCAATCAAAGTTTCAAAACGACGCCGTAAAATAGTGAAGAAAATTCGAGAATAATCATGAATCTCACCTCTAACACCGGCGTTATTAACCAAAGCATCAATTCGTCCAAAGGCGTCCCAAGCTTTCTGCACGGCGGCTTCAATGATCGGACCATTGGCGCTAACGTCAAGCTCTATTGCTACGGCTCGTACTTCCTGAGTCAAACTTGACTCGTTCGAGTTTGAACTGAATCCATTGATCTCATCACAGAGAGATTTCAATCGATCAACACGGCGAGCAGCGGCGATGATTCTACAACCAGATCTGGACAAATTGAGGCAGAATTCTCGGCCGATTCCCGATGATGCGCCGGTGATCATCACCACTTTACCGGTGAGTTCTCGCCATGGCTCCAGCTGGCAAGCCACTTTAGCATGGTTCTCCATTAATTATTTTGGTTTGTCGGCACGGAAATATTAGTGAATAGTACCTTAGATATAGAGAGAATGTAGGTTACAACTTACAGTCAACATATAGTCGGCCCTTGGAGTTTTTTTAATTCTTATTTAAACATTTTTATTTGACTCATTGACTAGTAGTTACTTACGTGTGATAATGACATAGCTAATGTGACAAAAGTCAATATATTTAACAGAAACGTAGTGTAAATGATAGATACGGTGATAATAAACATAATATTATTTTTATGATATGTAGGTAAAACTGATTAACTTTTTAGTTATAATTTTTTTAAAATTAATTTTCTGTAATACTACTTAGATAAAATTGTTTGACTTTTAAGATGAAAATATTTGAACAACTTTGATACATCAACAACGACGACTCAGTAAAATCCCACTAATGAAGTTTGGGATTTGAAAAACTTTGATACAATAAAATAAAAATTGACAAATGTAAGATTATTATAAAAGAGAGTTTTTGAAGTTGTGTTAAAAAATGATAATTAGAAAACCTGGTTGTTCTCAATTAAAAAATTATAGATTTGATTGAAACTTGAAAAAAGAGTTTTTGAATTTGTGTTTAAAAATAATTTTTGAAAGTTGAAGTTGTGTTTGTATATGCATTTTATTTGAAAAAAAGTTGAAATTTTGTGAGTGAAATAAAAAAATTCACCCAAAAATTGCCATAAACTAGTTTTTGGAAACTTAGAAATTTTTTTAAAAACAATTTCCAAAACATGATCATTTTTCATAAACAAACAATATTTTTTGAATTTTTTTTTTTAAAAAATAAACCAAAATCTATGACCAAACGGGGAGTATTCTACTATTTGGAACAGATGCTCGATATTAGGGGGAAAAATAAAAAAACAAATGCTCGAAAAGGTTTAGTCCTAATTAAAAACATGCTCGATTGACACTTGTATTATATTTTACGGACAATATGTCAATATTAAAGAATAGGAGTACTAAACATGTAATGTTGTGACTGGCTTGTTTGACCTTATTAAATTATATTATTTTAATAAAATTCTTACTACCACATTATTTATCATCTCAAATTCAAATAAGTCTTATCCTTCTACATTTTAGACATAATTTTTTTTCTTTTTTGTTCCTTGCTTGTAAGTTTTGCATTATTTAATAAGTACTTAATATTGTTATATTGTAATGTGATATTTTATTACCCTTTTAATAATTATCAATAAATATTAAAAAATTTATTCTTGAAATTTAATATATTTTTACACTATTATCATCTTACTCGGATCTCTTTCATCATTTAAATCTATTAATAATATTTTTGAGTATTATTTAATTATTAAATTAATTTATTTTTAAATAAATTTAAAAATATAAGTATCCTCGCACTATCTCTATTTTCCTCTACATGTATTCTCTTCCCTGCTAAAAACTTTTAATTATCTTTTTACATAATATCACATTTTATTTTAAAATATAACTTTGAATTAGTCCAAAAGTTAATACATAAGTTCTTTTATAATGTCTCAAATCTATTGAACTTTTTTATAATTACTTTTTGTATTACGTGTATTTATTTTGTTTTCTCTTTTAGTTTCAAGATACAAATTTGGCTTTTAATTTTTATTAGTAAAATTACCTACATGAGATATTTCTTTAGTATATTTAAATTTTATTTAGTATCAAATTTTTATTTTTCTTTATATAGCAAAACATCAATTTTGTGATCATATTCATATTTTGAGCTTCTCTCATCCTAACTTTAAGAACTTTCTAATCTCAAGTTTAAATAATCTTTTCCTTTTATTTTCAATATAGATTTTTTGAAAATTTTAATTAATTTTCTTACTTTTGCTATAATGTTATCTAATATGTAATATTATCACATTTTTATGTGATTTTTTATTAACTTTCCACTTTATTTAATATTTTTATCCACTACTATTTTTAATATAATATAGATAGATATATGATTTTTTATATTAAATTAAATTATTTTTTTATTTTTAAACTATTGATTTAAATTCTTAAATTGCTTAAATTTATCAATAATATTTTTAAGTATCGTATATTTACCCAACCTGCCACTTGCTCGTCCCTCTCTTATGAAAATGGTCTCTCCTCTCCCGGAGGCTTAGACTCATGTCTATAGATTCCCTACTTTTAAGTAATTCTTAGTATAAATACTCTCACATTATCTCTAATTTATTTTTATTATTCAATATTTTTTATTTTTTATTTTATCTATTGTCACACCTCCTTTTTCCTGGTGGTTGTGAAAAAATAGGAGTTTTCTTTAATTTAAGTGATATTATTAAAAAGGGACTAACTTTTTATTTATTTTATAGATTCGCCGCTTGGAATAATTTATTAAGGTGTTTCAAGTCACCGATTATTTTAAAATTCTAATTTAAAGAAAAAATTAACTCTGTTTAAGTCTGCGAAACACAGAAGACCGGGTAAGATATTTTGTTAACCCGGGAGAAGGCGTGACATAGTTTTAACACGGTCGCTTTACAATTTCACGCATCCTAATTATCTAACTATTACATGTTTTCAAACCTACGTGCATTTTATCTTTTACCGCTTTTAACTTTATATTTTAAATAATTATAAAGTTTATTTGAAATAAGTGACGAGCGCAAAACATAACACCAAAATTAATGCTCGTTGGCCGAAGATAGTATAGTAAAATTATCGTCTCCACAGATTGAATTTAAATAATGTTCAAATAACTTATGGTTTAACGCTATTCAGGATGATCAACACTTGATTTAAGGTAATTATAAACTATAATTAACTACTAAATTAAGATTACGACTAATTAGACTTTATCATAGAGAGTGGGAGAGTTGAGCTAAAATGGATTGTAAGCAATATGAGAAATAAGGGTTACGACAGGATATGTGTAGGATAACTATTCGGGATCTAACTCTTATTGAGTTCACTTCTAAGGTTCTAATGATTCTCACGAATTCACTCCATAATTAGCTTAAGCGTAAGGTCAAGACTATTCTTTCGATTTAATTTGGACTCTACAGAATAAACCAATATGAAGCACTGTGAAGATATGCAAGAACACGTTAATGGACTAGTCTTTAGAAAAACGTCTCTCGAATATTCTCCTAACTTGATTTAATCAACAATTAAAAAAGCTCTTCCGATTACTTAGAAAAATCACTAAATTAAACCAAACAAAATAACCATCAGTTCTAGTCTGTACAACATAAGTTGCATAGTGAGCACTTGTTGCTTTTGACTATTTTTTACTACTCTAGACTGATATATAGAAATGACAGCTTGAAGGGGTCTATATTCTTCATTCTCCTTTATAGTTGTAGCTTATGATTGCAACTCCTTCAAACAGTTATACTACCTGTTTTACAGTAACCATGCAGCATATCATGTAAAGATGTTGAAAAAAATATGTAACAATGTGATTATCTTCTTTTTCCTTATTTTTGCTTTTGATAAATATTCACTCTTCCCCATATTTTTCTTCTGACTGTGCTTTGAATTTCTGTAACTACATACTGCTTTGGGTAAAATATTGCTCATGGATTGGGTATCCTCTTTGAGGTAGGATGGACATGATCAATTGATCATACATATCGCATAAGATTGAATGTGATTTATTAATTGTAGTATTTGATCATTGAGTCGATAATAAGGATTGGAGCTTACGTTGTTGCTTGAAAGAAGAAATTGAAGCGAGTTGATATAACCTTTATTAAAGAGGTTTAACTTACAAAAGCACGCATACAAGATGTTTGATAAATTGCTTGAAAGGGTTAATATATACTTAATTGGAGCGAGTGAGTACATATTAACTTAGAATTGTTTTAGCTAAATTTTAGATGAATTATTCATGATATATGTGTGTGTATTTTTAGATTTTTATGTTACATTTATATGTCTTTTTTCATGTTGAAAGTTCATGAAGAATAAAGAATCTTTAGAAATATTTTTGAATGTTTATTTCCTGCTTATGCCATGTTTAATACTTAAAGATATCATTATGAGTAGATACAGATTGTTACAGAAAAGATTTAGACTTGAATGGTCAAGAAAGTTGAGAAGTTAATTTAGACCCTAAAGAGGTCACACAAAAAAGTTTATTACTTTAAGGGATTATCCTCTATGAGAAGGGGTCATCGTCTATGCCGAGGGTCCTAACCAAGGCATTGACCTGAAACTTCTTGTGCCAAAATAAGAAGCATTCGAGCCGAGGGTCTCGTTGCTAAGAAACTGTCTAACTAGGCTAAGATATGATACATGAGCGTTGGGAACCATGAAGCGAGTGGCACCTCGTGGATTGGACCTATTCGATCAGGTTGGAATCGAACTCATGCCGATCACACAGTGATTAAGACAGAAATAGGTCAGGATAGCTGGAACACCCTAAGCATAGAGTAAAGTATTTGTCAGATAATAAAGAAAGAAAAGAAATTATTTTAGAATATTCTTAACCTATTTGTCTGCAATTATTTTAGAATTGTTCATAGAAGCTTTATGCCTTCCATGCTTTTAGAATATTTTTTTGCATGCATATTTTAGTAACTATAGTTCCCTGCTTTAGTGGGGGGTTGTTGAGACTCCTTGAGTACAGTGGATGATACTGACGTTCTCTTTTGGGAACCTGCATTGGCCTGCAGTACAACGTAGGAACCGATTTTGCAGGCGAGCAGACTATATGTTAGGACTTCCCTCACTTCCAGTACTATTGGTAAGCTCCGCTTTTGTTCGTGGAGTATTCCTTTGTGTCATCCTTAGCTATTTCCTTTTTTACTTGGAGAATTAGCCAGGAAATCTCATGTCCAGAGCAGTGCACCAGTTTATCAGTAGAGACTTCATCGACATAGTCAGTGGGTTAAGATTTAGACATTTTGCATAATTAAATTTTTAGCATTCATCAGTTATTACGAATAAAGTTTTGGAGTTGATTTATTTTAGACATACTGATTATTAAAAAGTATTTGATTAAGATATTGTCTTGTTCTATATATAATGTTTGAAGTATAATAGTATTGATAAGCGCAAATGGTTCGCTCGGTCAATTTCAGAGATCGGGTGCCGGTCACGACCTATTTAGAAAATGGGTTG